GACAAAGACGAGACCGCCTTCCTCCTACGCTCTTCTCTCTCTTCCTCCCGATCCGTCCATCTCTTCCTCTCCCTCCCCCTTCCTCCAGGCTCTTCCCTCCCTTGTTTCCCTATTTCTGACCCCCTCCCCCATCACCTGCGCAATTAGCCGGATTTATCGCAAACGCTCTACATTCGGCCCCGGTAAAATGGCGCCTCCGGGAGGACGGCGGGTGAAAATAAAGAAGAGGAGGGACCGAAGGGAAGCCGCCGTTCCTGGAAATCGGATTCCAGGTGATTCTCCCCTCCTGGGCCGCGCGCGGATCCTTCGCACCGAGGAGCCCACCCTCCGGATCCTCGACACTTCCGGGACTAGCTTTATCCGATTTGCGGATGGGACTCCCCCGTAAGCGGCGCGGCCAGGGGGGCCCTCGGGGGATGTGATAAAGGCGGAAGGGAAAACGATAACGCGATTCGCGGGAGCGGCGACCGCGGGGCGGGGACACGGGGGCTATACGCGATTGGCTCGATAAGGCGATAAGGGGGGATATAACCGGAGCACTTACGTTTGATCACCCGCGGTTTGTGCCCCCATATTTTATCCCCATCGGGTGCGTACCTGCAGAAATGAAGCGCCGTTTATGGGGAGTAGTCCCCCCGTAAGGCCCCCCCAATTCCTCTCTCCCGGTCGTCACGGACTTTTGCATTTAACGCGTCCACTTAGAGAGATGGGGGGAAAAAAGTCGGGTACCAGGTCCACCGTGGTTTTTGCGTACCCTGGTACACACGCTCGGTTAGGTAACCATTGTCGGTAAGTGCAAATCGTCACGCGATTCGCCGTCTCTCGAATGGGACCGGTCGACCGGTCCGCGTAAGGAGATCCTGAAAATCCAGCCTCCTTCCCGGGTATCCCCAGGCCGACGCCCCTTTAATTGCACTTCGTTAGCCGGAACTTCAGGCGGCGGTAATGCATCTTTCATGACGGTTCATTGGGATAATGATTTTCCTCCTTTCAGTTTTTCGGGGGGGGCCTTTTTTACTCCACGCTTCCTCGTTCTACTTGTCCGCCGGTATGTCGGACTGTTACTCGGTACCGATGAGGAGAGGTTGTTATCCATTGTCGGAGAATCGTCACGCGATCCTCTGACCGAGACTGAGTGGGTATTAATCAACGTCGGGCGTGTAAGGACCAATCTACGTCAAGGAATCCAAAAAATTCAGCCTTCTTCCAGGGAATTCTGGACAATTTCCCTTTATCCACCCTCCATTAATCAGGCACTCCAACGGTGGTAATAATTGTCTAATGACAATTTATCAACAGTACCCTCTTGGTAGTTCTTCCCTCCTTCTTCTTCATACCAATGGTACCAATCGCAGCATCAACCAGGAAAGGCGGTGCCCCATTGTCTTCGGGGCCGGGAATTAATCGGATGTCAATCCATATAAGAAAATTCGGAAAATCCATTCTTCTTCCAGGAAATTCGGAAAATCCATTTTTCTTCCAGGAAATTCTGGACAACTTCCCTTTATCCACCCTCCATTAATCAGGCACTCCAACGGTGGTAATAATTTTCTAATGACAATTTATCAACACTACCCCCTTGGTAGTTCTTCCCTCCTTCTTCTTCATACCAATGGTACCAATCGCAGCATCAACCAGGAAGGCGGTGCCCCATTGTCGGCGAAGCCGCGAATCGTCACGCGAATGGGCGGAAGCCTAAGTGCATTCGCGGAACGCGACCGCGAATGCAGGAGCATCAGGAAACGCCGGTTCCTAGGGGAGCGATCATCTCGGATAATAACGGTAATGGATCGACATTATCTGCACGAGTTAAGAGTGCTCTCGCGGGATCGCTGACCGGTCCGGCCGTACCGCGGCTTGGATTTTTATTCCCTTTTATCCCCCGGTCCCTCTCTAGCTCCCGGTGCATAATTGCGGCTACGTGCGCCAATCAGCTCATGCTCCCCGGGCAAATGAGACTTTCACGGAATGACAACCTCCTCGTATCCTCGGGGCCTCGCCAAAGTCCACTCTCGCGAGATCTCCGTCTTTTTGTCCCTCCTTTTCCCGGGCGATTTGCGATCGTTCGCGTTGCGACACTTGTACCTGCCTTTCTCGCTTGTTCGATCAATTACTCGCGCGATCACCGCCAGGGATAAGGCTAGAGAGAAAAGGAAAACGGTAACGGCGAAGTCAGTAAGCGTAGGGAACGTTCCGGGTGACCGTTCCCGGGATGCAGCCAGCAGATGCATTTCCATCCCGCAAGCCCTCTGGACCAGTCAGCAGAATCCCAGATACCTCGAAAATTCGGTCGACGATAACAGCCGCCGAAAAGCTCGTCACCCTGAAATCCAAGGAAACGCGCATTTCCGGGGAGCCTTCCCAACGTCTTGTCCGAGACACTTATGCGTTCGCAAACCCAGAGATGCACTTTACTTCCGGATGCGCGCCCGGTCCGCGACTCCTTTGAGCCGTCTACCAGAGGGCCGCGCGCGGCCCCCTTCGAGCGCGCTTTCTCCACGAGCGGTGCATGCCACGAGAAAATGTCTCCCACGAAAGTCCTGGCTCATTTCCCGCTGAGCAACTTTCATTCGGGGCATTTCCTCGTACGAGCGCCCGTTTACGGGGAAACGGGCGCTCAAAGTCGGCAGCGACGGGTCGCGCGGTTCCCCGTTGCACCATCTCCCGTCTCCGGGGTAAATCTCCCTGATAACTTTTTCTCCCCCCGTTCCTTCCCCTCCCTCCCGGGGCGGTTCTCATCCTCTTTCGTAACCCTGGCGGTCGTCGGTGCCCGCGACATCGAAAATAACTCCCCCTGGACGTTGTCAAGCGGCATTGACGTTGCGGCGCAACGGCGTCGCCGGCCTCTCCTCTTGTCTCTCCTTCTCCGTCGCTTTATCGCCGCGTTCTGGCGTCCCGCTCTTCTCACGGGACCACGTGCGATCTATTCTCGGTGCTTTCGGTGTAACCCCGGAGGAACTGGTATTCGGGATCGAGGCCCATGCCCAAAGCCAAGTCCCATTAACGGCGCACACCGCGGCCATGCAGCTTTGTCAATGGGCCCGACTATTGGGGAACGGCGGACCTCCTATCAATGAACAGGCGCGGACGGATCAGAAGCGCCGCGCACTCGCGGATCAATAAATCTCCCCGAGTATATTTAGTTATCCCGTTGATCCAGAGCCGACCCGGCCGATCGCCACGCCGTGTTGTCGCCGTTATACGCCGTTACAGGCCGTTATACGATCGGACGCGACGTTTCCGGCAGTCGGCACGAGCCATGCCGTCCTACCCCACAAAATCTGCGCCACCTAACCTCAATCGCGAATCACGCGTTTATATCAATAATTCATTACATAAAGCTACCTACGAGATTCATACCTCGCCATCCTCGTCGAAAAGTCCAATTCAATTTTTTTCTCTACTTTGCATAGACTGCCCGATAAGGTAATTAAGGTGAAAAAAGGTATTTTAAAGGCCTGTGATAGGTTCCACAAAAAGAGGCCCCAGAATTGGGACCCACGATCTATCGATACAAGCGTCGCCTAGAGATCAAAGAAGTTCCTAATGGAATAAGAATACAGTTTCCCTCGAAATATCGGAAGTCTTATTTTTAACCAGAGTTTAGTAAAAACGTCTTTCACGGGGTGGTTTAGTGATCAAAGGTTAGGGTGCGGGCTCTTTTTCTCCCTGGTCCTAAAAATACCCAAAAGGGTCCCAATCGGGCCCAAACCCCTCGCGTTATCCGTATCCCTTCGTCTAAGCTAGAAAGCCGTGGGTTGCTGGAAAACCGGGGAAAATAGGAAAAGGGGGAGCTAGGGGGGGGACACGGTGAAGCAGGGGGGAGAGTCGGGGGAAAAGTGCTCGCGGTCCCGTCACGGCCGTAATGCGAACGGATTTGCAAGAGATAGAGGGCGGAGAGACGAGCCGAAAGGAAAACGGGAAACCGGGAAACCCGTGGGTGGAGGGTGGGAGGGAGTTGGGGGGGGATGCGCGTACCCCGAAAAAGCCCGAAAAGTGGCTCCGCCGGCTCGTTTTTCGAAGCTAATTACAAAGGCCCGGCATCCGTCGGTGCATTCGGGGGATTTATCGAGGCAGCCGTGTATACATATATATATGTATGTGTATATACATGTATATATATATGTCTAAATACGTATACACCGGCGCGCGCGTAACCCCGGACTCGAATCAAAGCTTCGTACTAGCCCCGTGTATAAACAATCCTTCAAAAGAATGGTGTAATTCACCGGCAGAGTCCTGCAACGAGGAAGTACTCCCTATCTTCCTCCTCCTCCTCCTCCCCCACCCCCAGACAAGGTTCATTCAGACCTCGAGAGGCCGCGGTGAGGAGCAAAAATCATTCTCTCTTCCAGAGAGGACTCGAGGACTTCTGCGTCCTAGCTGGATGACGGTATCCTAGGCGAGCGCCGAATTTTTCGCGTAATTTGTCGTAAAAATCGCAACTGATAAGGCAAGGAGGTTTTAGATACGAGGAGAGCGAAGGGGAGGTGGGATGTAGGTCGGGTTAAGTTAAATATGTTATAAGTGTTATGATGTATGGTCAATTTGTCGGGATTTCTTGTGAAAGTGAGGATAGGGCGAGGGGGTGAGTTATTGCCGATGGGGAGGTTAAGTAGATTATGGGGATGATGTGTGAGAAATTTTCCGGGTTTCGTCGTAAAATTTAGGAGCGAGGGGGTTACGGGTGGATCTTGCAAGTGAATATTGAGAAGTGAAATGTCGAGGGCCAAATCGTTTTTTTTTTTTTTAATTCGATGACCTTACCCTTACTCGCCATTATTCTTCATTTATTTTGTTTTGACTGAAATGGCTCGGTCCCTTTGAACACTTTGAAAAACGGAGGTGCCGCCATCTTTGTCCTGTCATTTATCAGGCATTTCACTTAAGAGAAGTGTTCGAGGTGAAAAACTTTGAATGATGCCTCGCTGTCAATCCCGGGCAGACGTAACTTAGGTTAGGGTAGGTCATGCGAGATGTGTACGCGGCGCAAGACTTACCTTGGACTGGTCCTGCTGCTGCAATAGTTGTTCCCTAAGCAGCTGCAACTGCAGGATCAACTCCGAGAGCCTGCGCTCCTTCTCGACGAAGCTCTCCGCGCAGAGCACCCGGTGGAGCGCCACCACGCCGTCCTGCTGGCCCTCCGAGCCCTGCAGTCGCCCGCCGCTCGGGGGAGAGGACGCACCGCTGTTCGCTATGATGCTGCCGCCGCTAGAATGGAGAACGAAGCTTCAGCACGTCTTCTTAAACTCTAGTCAACTTGGCTCTGTGAACCTGTAATCCCGTTTGAGTCACTAACAAAATTAACAGGCCATGTTGGGTTTTGTTCGTGCCCTGTTTTTTTTTTTTTTACAAAAATCAGAGCAGATAAAAGAAAATAAAGAAATTCCGATAATGACCATCTTAACGTTTTCGAGGTTCTGGGAGGCTCTGAATTTCCCTAGCTGTCGGTCCCAAGAAATTACGAGCATGAGTACTTCCCGCGATTTACTTGCGGAAATGAATGGAAGCCATGAAAAAGAGAAAAGAAGGAAAATCTTGAAAAATGGTCATTTCAACGTTCTCGAGGTTCCGGGGGACTCTGAATTGGGTGACAGGTGACGTAGGATTTTCGTATGAGGAGGGCCGTCTTCGCGAGGTTTCGAGGGAATCAAAACCGACGCCCCGGGTATTTCCCGGGGATCGCGGGGAGAGAGAGAGCGAACGAGGATGAGAGAAAGAGAGGGACAGGGAGAGGAGACCGCAGGGGTAGCTCGCCGAGTTAGTGAATTATAGATGGGGTCGCGGCCGCGCAATCTCGGCCCGGCCGAGTGTTTGCACCGGTGATGGGCGCCGGGAAGGCGCACCCTCTGGTGCCGGCCACCCCCGTCGGCCCACTCTAGACCCGGCTCTTTTATCCCCGGGAAAACGGACCACGAATAAGTGATACCGGCCCCATTGTGAGACAGGCGGAACGGGCACGTAGTTCCCCCGTCTTCGCTCCGTCGACTTGGAGGCCCGACTCCGTTCCCGGAGTCGAGGAGTCGAGGCGAATCTGGGACACCGCCGGGATCGGACGCGACCCGATCTCCGCACAGGTGCAATTTCCACCCCATCCAGATATCCGAAACGAGCTTTTTCTTTATCTTCTTTCTTTTTTTTCTCTATCCCGCGAATCTGGACCGCTGCGTTTGCCCTGATCCCGGCAAGGGCGTCACCATAAAACAGGTGCAGCAGGCACTTGTCTCTTCCCACTCACCGCGGGAAATGAAAATCCCTTTATCTACCGAGAATGTTCGCGTTAATCTCGCTCTGTGCTCCTTGGAGTCCTTTCCACCCGGGAAATGTATCTTAAAAAAAAAAACAAAAAAAAATTGGGCTTCCCTCGATCTAAGCCACCCCTTCCTCTCGTACTGGAATTTCCCCCCCGCGAAGACAAAAGCTTCGATAACTTATCCGATTATAAGACAGTGAATCTCTTATCATGCCCTCTTCCTTTCCTCAACCCTCTGCTGCATGAATCTACTATCTGGCGACAAACCGCTTTTTTTTCTTCTCTTCAAATTTATCCGAACTCTTTATATGGTTTATACACACGCATGCGTACCCGGGAAATTAATAAATAATCAAGATGAATTAAATCTTACTGTGATATCGGTGATCGGGGCCGAAATTAGAATTCTTTGATACTCGTACGAAACGGAGGGTTAACGCGAAAGGAAGAGAAATGTCTCAATAAAGACTCAACGGGAGGCGCAGGAGCCCTCGAGGAATTACACGAGGAATTACTCGGGGAGCCCCCGATACCCCGCGGGTTCTGTACACATGAAGTACACCGTGTACAACGAGCCCACCCGATGATTTATCACTTCGACGTATATGACGGCCACACTCCGAAGACGTACGGCGGACTTCTGAGGCGCTTAAGCGGGACGTTACGTTACGTGGTAGTGCGTTAACGTCAAAAAGATCAATTCCGAGGGTGGTTTATTACTCGAGGAGCGAGCGAGAGAACTGCCCAGTAGGCAATGCACACTAAGAGAGAGAGAGAGCGGGAGAGAGAGGTCCCATTTCGCCTCGAAATCATTTCTCCACCCTTGAGACTCTCAAGATACAAATGGTTCCGCGTGCAAGTCCTCGAGGTCTACTCTAGGAATAAAAACGTAAATGAGAAGGATAAATGGAACCACGAAAATGAAATAAAAGGACGAGGAAATTTAACGAAGGTTCGAATTGAAGGGAAATCCGACCAAAGAAAAGTGCAAGTCTGACATTACGTACCTAGTACCGAAAACATATGAAAAACATGATAAGAAATGCCAAGAGAGGGAGAATTTCATATCCATGTCGCGTACACGTTATGGCTAAAGAGTAGGACGAGGAAATTTAACGAAGGTTCGAATCGAAGGGAAATCCGACCGAAAGAAAAGTGCAAGTCTGACATTACGTACCTTGTACCGAAAACATATGAAAAACATGATAAGGAATGCCAAGAGAGGGAGAATTTCATATCTTTGTCGCGTACACGTTATGGCTAAAGAGTAGTGAAAAGAGGATAAAGAATGATAAGAAGAGAAGAGATCTCAAAGGGTTCGAAGGGATGGAAAATCGGTCCTGCAAACGAGAATTATCGGTGTTTAACGTCTCGTTACGTCCCGCTTCCGGTGTCGGGAATCCGCCTTCTTAAACGCGCCCTTTGACAACTAATTGACCGAAGTGTAGAAACGGAGCGCTCGCGAGAACCGGTGCCTCCGGGGCGGCGCGGCGCCGCCTGGCGGAACCCCGAGGAGGATTGACACGCTCGTGATTCCCGCTAAGAAGAAGCAGCATTATATGCGCACGTCTCTCGTTTGGCCGGTCATTAGGCGAAGAATGCCCCTTATCCGAGCACGCATGAAAGGCCGCGGCTGTGCGCGCTCTCTTCTTTGGACCGATAATATCAAACGGTGGCTGGAGGCAGCCTCTCTCTATTCGCGCCCAGTGACCCCGTGCAGCCCTGCGCCCACAAAAGGCCCATTCTGTTATTATTATTGTGCCGTTCAGCGCCCGAAGGGTTTTATTTCCCGAGAAGATGAGCGCCAGGCCCCGAGATAAATGGCTCCCTTCGGCCGGGGAGGAAGAGGGGGGCGCGGAAGAAGAAAAAAAAAAAAAGAAACAGAAAAACGAGCCTGTCGGTACCGACAATGGAAATTCCGGCCTCTGAGGCCCCCCCCCTGAATTTCGGCCATACGCTATCGGCAGACTCCGCAGAATTTCAGACATTGTATCTTACAAGTAATGGCGGGCTGGTGGAATCCAATGATATACGGAAACAATGATATATAGGCAAAAGCTGGATTTCAGGCTATTCGCCTCTACGTCATAGATATGTGGAGCACCCATTGAAACGCGTTCCAACCCTGGTACCCATTTGTGTAAAAAAATAAGGTGTTGTGTAATATATCCCCCCATCCCGGGAAAACCTTTGTCCGTAAAATTGTCTTGGAAAATTTCCGCCAATTTTACCGGTGAACATTGATATGTGCCCATAGTTATGAAAGTGGTCTAAGTCAAAATTAAAAAAAAAAAATGAGTTTATCAGTTATTTCACGCCATATTATTTCAAAGGAAATTAATTCAATGTAATTTCGAAAGAAAAATTATATGACTTAGACCACTTTCATAATTATGGGCACATATATGCGGTTACAAGCGGAGCGTCGAGTATTGTTAGAAGGAGGAGACAGAGTAGGAAGTTAGGAGAGAGAAGCAAAATGGAGGAGCTCCTGGAACCACCTAGAATAAATCCGAGCGGCCAAGTGTTGCTCGATAAAGAAATACAAAATCGCGTCTCACATGTATCGAGCGACATCGACGCGCGCATCTCCCCCTACCTCGCGTGATTCCCGGTCTCCGGATAAATGATATTACTTTTCATCGACGAATGTCGCCGGCTCGCGTAATAACGATCGCCGTGTGGGTAATAACTGCGGTCCATGAATCGGTCCTTTGTGTGCCGGGGTTGGAGGTCAATGAGTGGTCTCAACTCTGTGCGAGGTCGCTCGCTCCTTTTCCACCGTGAAGAGGACGGACATAAGGAGGGATAGGTTAAAGAGACGGCAGAAAATTACGTACATTGAGAGACATTGTGCGCCAACGATCTCCGAGCTTATCTCCCTCTTCAATGGTACCCGCGGAGTATCGTTTTCCCCTCGAAACGGCCGTAGAAAAAAAAAGAAAAAAAAAAGATGGGAAGCAGAGATGGAAAAAAAAACCCATGCGCGCGTTGACACGCGACGCCATATTGTAAATAAAGAACCGGACGCGTTAGTTACGCCGTCTGTTCTCGAGGACCGTCAATTGTATGCATCACTTGAGGATTAATCGCGAAATTCATAACGCTCGTCCACGGGGCCGGCGTCGGCCATTGTCGGGATTACGCCGAAGAAATCCTTGCCTCCAAGAAATCCGGCATTTCCTCCCTCCCAACCGGCAATTACGGCAACTACTTTCCCGACCGCCGAGTCTTACCTCTCCCATTAGACCCGGGGGAAAAGTAATTAACGAACCTGGCCGCGAGTTATTAATTTTAATAAACGCAGCCTCCCGATGTACGACGGTTGCGGTTTCGCGTATAAAGGAGGGAAGGAGAACACCCCCGGGGACCGGGACGCCGGGTGCGACATTCTCGCCGGTGACAGGGCGACATCGCGATCCCGGGTATGTAATCGGTAATCCGATAGGGTCACCGGGTCGAGACTTGGCAAGGTGCCAATTGATACGAGCAGGGTGTTTCTCGTCCGCGATCCCAGGGGGTGGCGATAAGGGGCTAGGAGGGTCCCAGGGGGCCGAAATCGCGGTTCCCGGTGAAGAGCGACGCGCCTCGAGACCACTTTAAGCGACCCTCCGAGTGCGGCGAGGATGAAGTCGGGGATCCGCCCCCTTGGCCGGGGAAGACGTAAGAGCCAGAGAAGAAGAAGAAGCAGAAGAGAAGAGAGGAAATAAAACGTAGATCGTGGAGGGTACCGCACCGACCTATGCGCGTTGTGCTCGCTGGGGGTGGAGGCGGGCGGGGGTGGTGTCCTCCGGTCGTCCTGGAGCGAGGGGGAGCTGCTGTTCATCTTGCAGGTGAGCCTCTTGAGGACGTCGTCCATGGACCTCTTGGTGCCGGTGGCGGCGGTCTGCTGGTTGTTGTTGTTGTTCTGGGTGACCGAGTTGTTGTTGTTGTGGTGGTGGTGGTGAGCGTGGTGGGGGTGCAGGGGGTGGTGGGGGTAGTAGGGGTCGAGGAGGAGCTGGGTTGAGGGCGAGGCGCGCTCTTCGGCGCCGGCCGACTCGGGGGCGGCGGCGCCCGGGTGGTGGTGAGGGTGGGGGTGCTGGGGGTGGTGGTGCGCCTGCGGGTGGTGGTAGGTCAGGGCCGACTCCTGGACCCCCTGGGCCCCCTGGCCGGGGAAGGGTCCCCGCTGCCGCTTGGTGGCCCGCCGCGACCCCGGCGAGGGCGAGGGGGTGGCCCGGGGGTCGGGCTCGCTCGCCGTCCCGGGGGAGGAGCACCCCGAGGACTCGCAGTCCGTCGGCCTCCGCAGGAAGTAACACTCCTCCAGGTCCCCGGGGCCTCCCTCTTCCGGGGGCGACTCCCCGCGCGCGCCCGCCGCCACCGACGAGCTGGTGTCCTCCTCCTCCTCCGCCCCCGCCACCGCCCCCGTGCCCCCGCCGCCCTCCGATAACTTCGTTGGTGGCGACTTCCTCTTAGAGGACATCCTTAGTCTGCAACACAAACGCACATACGTGGGGATTTAGTTTACGGCGTATCGATTGGCCCCCCCGAGTACCTACCCCCCAACCCCTCGCCCTAACCTCCTAATCGGATCACCTGACCGATACCGACCGAAGTTGACGATTTCCGGTGCTCCTCGCTCGTCTTCCCTTCCGTCCAAAAAAATTAACAGCCCCCTCCCCCCATGAGAAACCGATGGTAATCCGCAAATGCCAGACCAAGATCGAGACCGTGGTACCCTTGGTCTTGGTCTTAATCTTACACCCTCGAGTCTTGGTACCGCTTGGTCGAGTCGTCGTCTCGATCTTGATCTTCCACTTTTTTCAAGATCAAGACCAAGTCCGATTTTGCTAATCGCCCTCGCTGACCCGGCGTCGAGTCAACCCCTAATTCGCGCGCCAACCCTTCCCGGGTCGTCGATCAATTTCCGTCTACTAATTACATATAAATCGCGCAATTATCTCGGGGCTCGGGACGCGTTGCGTACCCGGGACGCATTGCGTAACGAGAGAGGCGCAGTAACCGGTCGCTATCGCTTTGTCGGCCACGAATAATAATCGGCGCGCGTGCGTGTGTCGCAAGATCCCCCGGGATGGCGCGGAGGGGCACCCGGCCAGGATAAGGAGGCATCCTCGCACGGATCCATTATCTTCTTATCGGGAACGGCGACCGCGGGGTCGCGGGCTGATGCATCCTCGGTTTCGAATTCGCTCTCCTCGAGGAAACCCCTCTTCGAGGTTAACACTCGTATTTTGGATTTGAAGAAAATTGCAGTTCGGAAAAATACGGTGCCGAGTCATTTTTCATCAACCCATGTTATGTATAGTATAGTCATGGGAAATAGATTTGTTGCATATCTCACGTTATTGAGATGATATGATTTTTATGATAGGTGGATATATTAAAAAAGGGGTGCATACCCCGTCAAGGCTGTCTATTAATTATACACAACTCATCTCCGCAACGTTACACTACAATCACAAATTCCATAACCCAATTTAAATCAGCAATGTTTGTAAACGTAACGAGGTTCACATTTTTTTTTTCTTTTTTTTTTCAAGTAATCTGCATAATTAAGAGTCCCGTACATCAAATGTACCCACGGGAGTATTAGAAATGTGGAACACCGCGTGAAACATCGAGTACAATCTCCACTACTGTAAACATGGAAAGAGTTACCAATTTTGTATTTTTTTTTTCTCTTTTTTACCAAAATTTATTCGGTATACGAATATTATATAATTTTTTCATTTCTTGCGAAATCGGTTCTTACTTTTTTTTTTAATATTGCACCAGAGGAGCGTACCAAGTATGTACAGGTAGGCATGTTAAGCACTAACTACAAGTAATTCGACGTTAGCTTGACATATGAAGTGATGAAAAATGAATTATGACAAAATTTTCGGGTAGAAATCCTTCGAAATTCATTTGCGGTTCCGGGGGGAACTCGTGGTCGCAAGGCATGAATGGGCTCCGCTTTACGCAATCCGCGATCATACGTCCCGTGCACGCTTCTCCGGCACTTTGTCGGACGCCCTGGTATCGCGGTTGGCGTCTGACCCCGGAGACGGAGATTAGCGAAATAAAACCGAATTTCCATCGGCGTCGCGGCGCTCCGCTGGCGCGGCTCGCTCTCTCGCTCGGCGATCGCAATTATAAGTTTGCGAGGGACTTGTTACACATTGTCGAGCCAGTATGTACAGCTGTCGAGTCGCGACGCGCCGACCCGTTGCGTAATCCGGCCATTCCGCCGCGGCCGAAGCTTCCTAATTGCTATGTCAAAAGTGTTTGGCAATTCCCGAGACATTTTAGGGTGCAAAAGCGTTCATTCACGAACACGCGTTTCAGGGATTTCTATTCTTAGTCGAACAATCCACGTGAGTTAAAGTTACGGCAAAATTCACGGAGTTAGAGGTAAGTACGATAAATATAATTAGCCCGTCGTGGGAGAATGGAATCTCGGGTTGGTAGAGATTTTTTTATTATCAGAGATAACAAGTGCCACCCCATTCGCCACCCGAGACAATTCGCACTGGCCTACCAGTTGCGCGAGAGTTTATCACGGGACAACGGGGCCGGATGTGACCCCGTTTAGCGGCGATATCGATCCAATTGTCTTCCGCTTAAGCCGCTGGAAACCATCGAGGACGATAACGAGGACAAGAGGAAGCGAGCCCGAGAGGGAGACGCGATTCCCACCCCCGGGAGCACCCGGGATTATCGCCGAGCACAATGTCGATCCCAGCCAATCCAAGCAGGGGTGGATCCATATTTTCCTCCCCATTTCGCTTCTCGTCCCAGAGAAAAAGAAAAAAAAAAAAAAAAAGAATCCACCTGCAGCCTCCCCCAATCTCCTCGGTTAAAAATCACCTTAATTTCCCCTTTCGACAAAAAACATCAACATTGGCCTGGGTTTATGAACGTCCAACAATTAATACGATATTTCAGTTTCGACATGCAATATATATCGCGAATAGTAAAATTTTGAAGCGCGTGTTATTTTCTTGTGAAGCTTGTCTTGAAAGATTTCAGAATTTAATTGTGTAACTTCAGAATGCAGAGTGCAACGTCCGTTCCGAGGCAAGAATTAAAAAATGCAAGGCGTGACATACTTTGTCATTTAATATAGATTCCCCGGGGTAAGAAAAGCTGTATGATAAAAATCTCGTGGAGTGTCTCAGAAAAGTTTCATGTTCTGGGCCTTGAGGCCCAGTTTCAGGGTCCTTTCCGGGTCCGTCCCTTAAAGGCCCACCCACGTGGTGCCTCGTCGCGAATCCCGAGTTTATGTATGGATTTAAATGTAAAGCGCAAGGTCGATTGCGAATTTAACTATTAATTTCATAGTGCAAAGTGCAACATCCGTACCGAGGCAAGAATTAAAAAATGCAAGGCGTGACATACTTTGTCATTTAATATAGATTCCCCGGGGTAAGAAAAGCTGTATGATAAAAATCTCGTGGAGTGTCTCAGAAAAGTTTCATGTTCTGGGCCTTGAGGCCCAGTTTCAGGGTCCTTTCCGGGTCCGTCCCTTAAAGACCCACCCACGTGGTGCCTCGTCGCGAATCCCGAGTTTATGTACGGATTTAAATGTAAAGCGAGGTCGATTGCGAATTTAACTATTAATTTCATAGTGCAGAGTGCAACATCCGTACCGAGGCAAGAATTAAAAAATGCAAGGCGTGACATACTTTGTCATTTAATATAAATTCCCCGGGATAAGAAAAGCTCTATAGCAAAAATCTCTCGGACTGTCTCAGAAAAGTTTCATATTCTGGGCCTTGAGGCCCAGTTTCAGGGGCCCTTCCGGGTCCGTCCCCTAAAGGCCCACCCACGCGGTGCCTCGTCGCGAATCCCGAGTCTCATTTCTCGAGTTTCCCCAAGAATAAAGCACGTTCCCGAGGCCACGGCGGGTCGTTCCGAATTCGGAGCGAATTCGGCGTTCCGCGTCGCACCCTCCGGGGTCCCAGGGGAGGCGCTGACGACACGTATTCCCGTCCGGAGGACGTAATCGCTCGACAAAAGCGCCGAGAGCTCCCGGCCGCGTCTTACGGGCCGGACAAAAAGCGTCGCGGCGGGGCCGGGGCGGGAAATAGTTTTAACGGACGGACAGTGCCAGATGCTGCGAGGTGATTCAGGGCCCGAGATAAAAAGCCCCGATAGGAGGGAGGGAGATCGCCTCTCGAGGGACCGAGGACGTCTTCCTCCACTTTTTGCCCGAAAGTAACCTCGAGGACCGGCGAGGATAGACGGGTCCCTTAAAAATGTCGACCAACGATAAGACGTCCACTGATAACATTGAATCCCGTCAATAATTCATACGTAGAATAATACTTTCCTTCTCGTGGCGTAAGGAGCCAAAAAAAAATCCCAAGTAGTGTGCGAGCATAAAAAATCATGTACCCGCGTTTCAATCGTTCGAAGCTCATACGCGGTAGGAGATTAAGGTGATATGAAAGTGATAGGGCGGCTCTCGTTTATGAAACATTACCCCAAAGTGGTCCCGAGTAGTATGAAATCTTTCCACGGTCACAGAAATTTGGAAATCATGAGATTTCATGACTGCACATTTCTCTATCATGTCTGTACTATCACTTGATAAAATTACATGCGACTCTCGTTACGTTGGATTCAGAGAAAAGTTTCACAAGCGATCGACCTCGGATGCGACTCGCGTATCGGCTCGAACAACGCGTTACATTAAACCGAGAGAGCACTTTTGCCCAAAGTAACATGAGTGATAATTTCAATCACTCGACCTTTCGCCCCCCCGTAATTCCACGTGCGACATTAACATCGAACCTCCACCTCAAGGTACAGACCGAAGAATTAGGATAATCAAAGTCCGATTAAAAATAGGGAGGTAAGATCGGAGGGAAACTCTCTCGGCCGAGATGAAAATCTCGGATTATCCTCTCACCCGGGGCCGCTTATCAGGGGCTTATCACGCGCTTCCCGCGGCAACGAATTGTTTACCGCCGGAGTGCATAGGTCGCGAGCCAGCGAGACGAAGCAAATTTCTACAAGGCGTACTTAGTCAATTTTTTTCTTCCCCCGGGGATTTTTATCCGATCCCGTCATATCGAGCCTCCGGGGCGATGATTAGCTCGGCAGCATTGATAAGGAGACGCGAGTAGCGGCGGAGTATTCGCCGGTTATCAGTAGCCAAGGATCTCCTCACAATAGATATCGGATCATTCTACCGAGGAACGGGGTGTGTGGGGGGTGGTCGCGGGGGATGAAAAATCCCGCGGCCCACATTCGCGTCCGTTCCGCGGCGCTTTCCGCGCGTGTCGCGGCCTATCTCCGGTCATTATGAAACTGCAAGACATTGTAAGCGTGTAGTAAAAGCTCGGTAGCCGATAGCCCGCTATCAGGGCGGCTCCCACACGCAAGCCGGAGCTCATGTGCGAAAACCGCGATCGGGATGGACGCGGCTCGCCCTTATCACGAAAAGGTCGGACATCCCGGTTACACTTACCCGGCGATAAGG